CAATTCTTATGTCTCAGCCTCCTGAGTAGCTGGGACTACAGGTTTGCGCCATCACGCCTGGCTAATTTTTGTATTTTTGTGGAGACAGGGTTTTACCATGTTGGCCAGGCTGGTCTCAAACTCCTGGCCTCAAGTGATCCGCCCGCCTCAGGCACCAATGTGCTGGGATTACAGGTGTGAGCCATTGTGCCAGGCCAGAAAGGAGTTCTTGGTGGGACAAGACATCAAAACCAGCTGGCAGCCAGTTCCCCTATCTTGCTTTCTGTTTCACTAGATTTTCATGGAGTGAAGAGATGAAGCTTTAAGTGCAAGTACGATGTAGGCCACTCACCTGGCATTTTGTGATTTTTTTTCATTATTAACTTTCCCTAAGTCTGATTCTTGTGTATATATATCCTTCACTGCTGTATAAACCTCTCCAAAGCAAGGGACCAGCTCTTACATTTCCTATGTTGTTTCCTAGATAGATAGATGGATATATATATATATATATATATAAAATAATATATGATACATATTTGTATATATCGAATATGTATTTTTAAATATATGACTTGCTGAATTGTATACTACTGTTTGGGCAAGAGAGATAGCTAGGAATAAAACAACAATTGTCCTGCATGGCAGTCGGCTGCCTCTCCCGCTCACTGCCATGTGGGTTATCACTAATGGGAAGGTCCCCTGAGTACTACTGAGAACTGGGGGATATATAGTTCAACACTTTACCAGGATTACTGTGCTTCACGTGGCTGAGTGCCACCTCCTTAAGTCTCAGCTTAACTTTCACTTCCTCTGGGAAAATAGTTCTGATTTTCCCCACAAAACTAGAAAACATAAGTCCTCAGGAATCCCAACGTTAGGGAAAATGGGTAACTTTTAGTAGAGATGGGGTTTCGCCATGTTGGCCAGGCTGGTCTCGAACTCCTGACTTCAGGTGATCCACCTGCCTTGGCCTCCCAGAGGATTACAGGTGTAAGACCCCGAACCAGGCCTAGGAAACTTTTTGAAATGCAAAAAACAAAAACACAATGACAACAGCCCTATCCTGTGTACATGCTTTAGGAAATATATTATTTACCTTAATTTTCTAACTTCTGGCCTCAAATGATCTGCCCACAGTCTCCCAAAGTGCTGGGATTACAGGTGTGAGCCACCATGCCCACTCATAGTTTGATTTTGAATACTAATAACCTTGATATTTTTGCAGTCCTCCTCGTTTATTGCTTTTCTCTCTGGGATTTGAAACTTTTTTTTTTAAGAACAACTCAACAAAATAAAATTCCTGTTTATTGTTGGACAACAATGTTTGACACATACATCAAACAGGCCAAAAAAAAGAAAAAAGAAAAGAAAACCCACAGCAATTTCATAGACAAAAACGGAAAAAAAAGAAACCTTTTATATTGGCCTTTTTTTTTTTTTTTTTTGAGGTGAAATTTCATTCTTGTTGTCCAGGCTGGAGTGCAATGGTGGGATCTCAGCTCACTGAAACCTCTACCTCCCGGGTTCAAGTGATTCTCCTGCCTCAGCCTCCCAAGTAGCTGGGATTACAGGCATGTACCACCACATCTGGCTAATTTTTTGTATTTTTAGTAGAGACGGGGTTTCTCCATGTTGGTCAAACTGATCTCGAACTCCAGACCTCATGTGATCCACCTGCCTCAGCCTCCCAAAGTGCTGAGATTACAGGCATGAGCCACCGGGCCCAGCTGGCCTTTTTAACCATCTCATGCAAAAAACTGCTTATAGTACTGCTAAGCACATACATGAAAAAGTTACTGGAATGCTCAAATAAGACTATTTTTCTATTGTTGTTTTTGCTTTTTTTTTTAACAAGGTTTTTTTTCTCCTTTGAGATTATTATGAACATGGTCACACTACAAGTAAAATCAGAAGTAGGACAGAGATCACTCTGAAGGCTGGTTTGGTCATCAGAGATCATTAAAAATGGCTGACTCTAACAATATGTACAAAAATATAAAATGTACATAAAAATACAAACAAATTTCCTTTTTAAAGTACTTTTAAGACAAAGGCAGGGCCTTGGAAGTTTTGGCTCTGTTTTCCTCCCCTGCTGCAAATTCTCATGGTTTGGGTTGGGTGGTAGAGCGCATGTATCATCTGCAGGTGGCCCTGCCCGTGGTGGGCAGGAGGCGGGCCTCTCTACTCAAAGGTGGTGACCACGTTTAGATTCTGAGATGGGAAGTGCAAGGGGAATAGGTCACGGCAGCCTTTTTTTTTTTTTTTAGTTTAAGTTTTCCTTTTTTGCTGTCTAGTCATCCTCCTCGGTCTTCTGCTTCTTGGTATCAACATTGTCATCCTCAGCATCTTCTGCTGTCCGCTTGCCCATAGCCGACTCAGCTTCCTCACCTTCATCTCCATCCTCTTCCTCACCATCACCTTCTTCCTCCCCACCTTCCTCCTCTTCTTCGACCTCACTGTTAGCCCCCTGCTCCCCATTTTCCTCATTCCCGCTAGCAGGGGCATCTCTTCCGTTTTCTGCCTCTTCCACAACTTCCTTCTTCTCATTTATATCTTTGGTGTGATTTTGGAGCTGGTGTCTGTGGCTGCCTCTGACATGGTGGAGCACGCTGGTGATCCAATGCAGGGGATTTAAAAGAAAGCGAGAGTTCAGGGACTCTGGCGATAAAGCTGCCAGAGTCCTCAGCAGAAGAGTCGAGGCACGCAGTGGAGGCGGCTGCGGTGAGCAAGGAGCTGGGCGAGGAACAATGCAAAGATGGCTTCAGAGCAGCCAGTCTGGATCTCAAACTGTTAAGGCCTAAAATCATTAGCGCTGCTTTCTCCCTCTAAGCCATATGTGACTTTTCACTTTATTTTCAACTGAATTCTTTCACTGTTTTGAGTTTAGCAAGCTTTTTGGTCTTAAAAATATTCAACAGTGCAGTTAAGAGACCAGATGACTTTATGCATGAGACACTGTAAGATGAGGAATTTTCCCATACAAAGGTGACCAGATTGGAGGAAATTAGTCAGTATAAACATTCCTCTGAATTTATATGGTACAGATTTTACTCTCAGGCTTTCTTAAAGTTTCTAACAGAGCTGGAGAGGAGGAGGAAGACTGTAACATCTGTTGCAAAATTCCAGTTACATGTAGGGCAGATAGGAATCTGGGAGAGAGGTGACTTGCCCAAATGACACACTGATTTGGGATCTATAAGGTGGAACTGTTAATTCTTATGCATAAGGCTTGATTCACAATTGCTTTTTGTTTTAATGGAAGTTCTGTAAAAAGAAAAGAATACTTGGAAAATTTGAGCTACTTGTAAATGCTTGGAAAATTAGGAAAGAGAGTAGTTTAAAACCATGCCACCCCTGTTCTCCTCCTTCTCCTCCTAATCATCAGAATCACAGTCAGTCAAAGGTACTTTATGAGTGTGAACAAGGTCAGTATGAAAACACAAAGTATCAGGAAGTTGCCACACCCAGTGTATATAATTTCCAAGTCACACCTCTCTGTTTCACATTTATTTATTTCTCTGTTTCACTTTAATATGGTTATAAGACCATCAGGTTGGATTGCCTATTGCACCAAAGGAGATGAATAATTGTAGGGCAACTGAACGAGAAGATAAGAGGAAACCTCAAATCTGCCTCCCTGGGAGGTTTGGGGATGGGGATTCTAAGGGGTCTGGACAGGTGATGGGCTAAGGTATGGGGACTGCTGATTGGTCGAGAAGTGGGGGTGAAGTCATTGGACCAGGAGATGCTGAGTCAGCTTCCTGGTAGGGATCTTCAGACCTGTTGGCATCAGGGATTCTGCTGGAATTCAGGATCCGTAAAACACCTTAAACAATTCTTGGGTAAAAAGGTCCAGTGTCGGTTTCTATCAATGGGAGCAATGAGGGAGCAGGTGGTCAGTGTGCTGCGAGCCCCTCGGTTAGTTAGCAGCTGCAGGGAAGTGAGTCAGGGCACACCAGTGCACCCTGGTTGATGCCTGACTACAATTCTGCCTAAAGCCTGGCTTGTAGTTCTCATTAACCCTGTGAGAGGTTTTTTTTCTCTTGGGCTTTTGCCCCATTCTAAGCAACACTTCTATGGATATTTTTGACTGCATATTTTTTGCAGCACATACTGGCAAATATTCTGTGTGCTCAAATTAATTTTTTCCAAGACCGTTTCTCATTTTGATATCACAGAGCTTCTCTTGTATTTTAAACTGCAATGGGTAAAGGAATGAATATCTTCATTCCTTTGTCAGAAATTAATTGAGTTCCTGGCACTCAAGGGCTGTAATTCCACCACTTTGGGAGGCTGAAGCAGGAGGATATCTTGAGCCCAGGAGTTCAAGACCAGCCTGGTCAGGAGGATCACTTGAGCCCAGAAGTTGGAGGCTGCAGTGAGCCGTGATTGCACCACTGCACTCCAGCATGGGCAGCCCAGCAGTACCCTGTCTCACAAAAAATTTCTTGAGTGCTTACTCCATGGTAGTCAGCCACTGGGTGGGGCACTGGAAAATAGAGGAATATAATATGGCCCCATCTTTCTTAGCATAAAGCTTATCAGGCTGTGACCATTGTGTTTATTTAAGAATATACTTACAATACTAGTGGTTCTTTTTATAGCTGTCCATCTTACCTCACCTTTTGCCCCAAATAAAAAATAAGCAATGTTCAATTCTTTTTTTTTTTTTTAAGATGGAGTCTTGCTCTGCTGCCAGGCTGGAGTGCAGTGGCACCATCTCGGCTTACTGCAAACTCCACTCCTTACTGCAACCTCCAAGCGATTCTCCTGCCTCAGCCTCCTGAGTAGCAGGTGCATTACAGGCACCTGCCACCACGCCTGGCTAATTTTTCATATTTTTAGTAGAGATGGGGTTTCACCATGTTGGCAGGATGGTCTCGATCTGACCTTGTGATCCACCTGCCTCGGCCTCCCAAAGTGTTGGGATTACAGGCGTGAGCTACCATGCCCGGCCAGCAACATTCAGTTTTAAGACACTATCAAGGCCCGGCATGGTGGCTCACGCCTGTAATCCCAGCACTTTGGGAGGCTAAGGAAAGCAGGTCATCCGAGGTCAGGAGTTCAAGACCAGCCTGGCCAACATGGTGAAACCCCATCTCTACTAAAAATACAAAAATCAGCCAGGTGTGGCTGTGGGCTCTTGTAATCTCAGCTAGTGGAAAGGCTGAGACAGGAGAATCACTTGAATTTGGGAGGTGGAGGTTTCAGGGAGCTGAGATCATGCCATTGCACTCCAGCCTGAGTGACAAGACTGAAATTCCA